CCCCCCCCAGGTCTGGGGTCCCTGCTGCCGGCCCCTTGCCAGCCGGCATCCCGGCCGCAGGCCCCGCTCAGCCCGCTGCCAGCCTAGGTGAACAGAACCCCAGGCTGGCAGCGGGCTGAGCAGGCTGGCGGCGTAAGATCAGCATTTTAATTTAATTTTAAATAAAGCTTCTTAAACATTTTGAAAACCTTGTTTACTTTACATACAACAATAGTTTAGTTATATAATACAGAGTTATAGAGAGAGATCTTCTAAAAAACGTTAAAATGTATGACTGGCACGCGAAACCTTAAATTAAAGTGAATAAATGAAGACTCGGCACACCACTTCTGAAAGGTTGCCTACCCCTGATCTAGGTACTCAGATAGCCATAGCATAGGCACCTCACAGTCACTGATGGCTTTTGTCCTGACCACTTCTCTTTGAAGTAGAGAAGCATTATCCCCATTTTACAGATTGGGAACTGAGGCTCCGATTGGGAACCTGGGTCTCTTGAGTCTGCCGCTAGTGGAGAAGTCCATTGCCCTAACTAGACCATCCTTGCTACCCAAGCAGTGACTAATGGAACATGCAGATGTGTTTAATGCAACATATGTGGGATAGATCTTCTCAAGTGATTTTACATGGCTAAATAAAATCCTTGCTTGATTGAGGACACTGAAGTAAAGCTCATTATCCCAGAGAAGATGAGTCTTCATAGAGCCACCTGGGGTCATTTACAGTCAAACTCTGCCTCCTGATTCTCTTTCTGTCTCCCCTTCCCTTTTTTCCTTGTTCCTCTCCAGTCTTATTTCCTTGTACCCTCTCCCACTCATATTCCTCATTTTCCATCTCTCTTCTATCCCCTCCGAGTCTGCCCCTGTAGGCTGCGAACTTTGCCTTTCTGTCACCTTCTTTCACTAGCTAACCCAGAGGGGTTTTGGTTCAGAGATTTTATCACTGAGCTGATTAATATTGTGGAGCCGGGATCCAGAAACGGAACAGATACAGAACATCAGATTCAGATCATGGCCTGACTAATGTCACTGGGATTCACAATAAAGACCAAAAGGTCAATGGGCCAGAACGTTAGCTCATTTTGTACCTTGTTCGCTTTAGGCCATAAAAATTAAAGCTCAGTATAAAACCATCAAGGGTTGGACAGTGTTTTAGGGATCTCTCTTATTGGCTTGATAGAGTGGCTTGGGGGAGATTTTAAACTCTGAAAAATGAGCTGAAAGGGTCTCCTCTGAAAGTGACAAAATCTGAATGATACCTAGCACTTACCAGGCCAGATTCACGTCTGCGTTATGCTGGCAGAAGCTGGTGTGAACTGGGGCTAGGGTGACCAGATGTCCCGATTTTATAGACAGAGTCCCAATTTTCGGGTATTTTTCCTCACATAAGCACCTGTTACCGCCCCCACACCTCCTGTCCTGATTTTTGACACTTGCTATCTGGTCAGCCTAACTGGGGCACAGAGCCTACAGTTCCCTTTTTCTAGGAGTGAGCTGGTAAGGGACCAATGCCACCTGAAACCTGAGCACTGCTGGCCAGGGAGAGGGCATGGCCTAGTGACAAACTTATGATGGCGATTGTATGACGGGGATGCTTGTGATGGTAGGGGACAAGGCTCAACAGCCCTGCAGCTCACTTCCGGTTTTTGTCGTGTGTTCCTACAGCTTATACTTCAGGATTTCAGCTGGCCATTGGCAGGGATCGGGAAGGAATTTTTTCTCCCGGTGTAGTCTGGGTTTTTTTCTGTAAAAATTCTGTGATGGAATTTCCCCCCAGGTGAGATTGGCGATGACCTTGGGGGAGGGTGGAGTTGCCTTCCTCTGCAGTGTGTGTATGTGCGGGAGTCACTTGCCAAGATTATCTGGGTGTATCTCACTTAATCATTCCCCTGCCATTGTGGGGACCTCGGGCACTGGTGCACCTCGGTCCCTCCTATTCTCTGCCTGTGGCATATAATAGTCTAGTCTCCTGTGGGCTGTAATATGTCAGTCTAATTTTGGTGGTTGGGTTTAGTGAGTGGGTGGTGTGATATTCAGGACCTCAGCCTAGTGGTACCTGGTGGTACCTTCTTGCTTTAAACTCTAACTCTATGTGCCAATAAGTGAAAGAGCCAAAGCTCTCTAGAGCTGAGACAGTAAGAGACTCGTATCCTTTTGCAGAATGGCCCAGAGGGGGATCCTGTAACCCAAACTTGCGAATGGGTTACATGAGCACAGCCTGTAGGGGGCCTTTGGTGGAGATGGAAGCAGCCCCAAGGGAAGGTAGTGGTGGAAACAGCTCCCCTCCCCTGAAGCTAGATGCCCAGAGGAAAGTGCCTTGCTGGCACCGTGATTGGCCGTAGCCTGAATTAAACTGGCCCAGACAGTTCTCTGCATCTTCACGCCATGCTTCAGGGATTGACCGGGGAATCCTTCCAGCACTTCTGGCAAGTGAGTCACTTTACAGCGACAGTGAGGGGGGGAAGGGACAAAGTGGCAGTGTCCTAACAGAAGCCGGAACTGGCTCCCAATCCTGTGCTCAGTCCTCTAGCCCAGGCTGCCTCTCACAATCAGAGACCGTTTTTCTGTTTAAAAATCCCCCCAGAGAGTAGCCCAAACATCTGAATGCCTGTCACAGGCAGTGGGAGCTCCCCTCTGAAGATCCCCTTGCATAAGGGACTGAAAATGCAAATGTGGTTTGAAAAATTCAGGTTGTACCTTCACACTTGGCACGCAACATATCTGTGTGTGCCAGGATGGAAAATACTCTAGCACTGCCACTGCTGTCCTTAATGCTAATTAGCTTTGTCACTCCAGGGATAGGAGGATAACTCTGGGATTATAGCAATTAAAATGCCATGTACACTTTAAAATTTAATTCCTCAGGAAAGAAGAAGCCACAGATACCGCACTTGGGATAATCAGCACACACCTTCCTCCCCATAGACACGTCTTCAAAAAATGTCTGGATAAGGGCATCTCTTTTCATGGGGGATCTGATTCTGTAGACGCTACTCCCCCACTGATCTCCATGGGAGTTTTGCATAAGAACTGCAGGAGCAGGTCCTTAGTTTGCCTACCAAAGTTTATTCCTTATGCTGATTAACAACAGTACTTGGATGTAATTACAAATGGTGTGTGATGTAATTACAAACCACTTCTTCTGAGCTTGACCCTGGCCATTGCAATTGCACCACATCACACTAGATACACTGGCCGGACAAGATGCTAATTGCAAGATCATAAATATTCAGCGTGATGCCGTAGATATAGCCTGTTGATATTAAGGGGAGTCATGCTCTTAAATCCACTTGTGCTTAGCTGTAAATGGTGATCATGTGCTAAATGGACTGAATATTAATCCGAGATGTGAAATACAGAGATTCCTGTGGCGTAAAATGCTGACTGGAAACGGAGGTAGCATTAACCTCTGGATATTATCTGGTAACAGGAATTAGTTGCAATAAACAGTGAACCTGCTGTTTCTAAGTCATTTGCAAATGCATATGCTTCTGGGGCAGGAATTAAAGCCTAAAACCAAACAACATCTTTTATGAGTGTTGCATTACGTGACCTGCAATATAAAAGCCTGTATGTGACAGGTAATACAACCTGAAGTATCTCCCAGATGCTTTACAACTGTTTAGTGAAATGCAGCCCCTTTGGGGGGCAGAAAGTGGCACTTCTTAATTGAACACAGCAACTTGTGGTCTGTTATGCTGGAAGCCAGTCTAGATGATCATAGTGGTCCCCTCTGGCCTTCAAACCCCATTAACTCTATCCATAGCGGAGTGGAACAGAGCAGTGGAGAGAGGGGATGCCCGTGGGACTTGAATTCAGATTCAGGGGCCTGGCATTCAAATACATTCAGAAGCCGAGTGATATTAAAAATAGCACAAAGCCCAGGCAGATGATAAGGAAAAGGGCTAATAGTGCATTGACAGTCTTTAATTACTGCTCGGTTAACCATGGGATGTGGAAAAGTTCAGTGTCCATTGGCTGCCTCCAGGCTCATTCTAGGCTTTTAGGCCACAGATGTGGGCAACCCAGTTAAAAAAAAAAAAAAAAAAAAAAAAAAGCATGATTGAAAGAGAAGGGAAAGGAAATGTGCCCCTCCCATCCACATGAAACGGGAGCGAAATGGAAGCAGCTGCTGTTGGGCTGGGCTGGCATAGCCACTGGCAATGCACTGGCTGGCTGTACACTGGCATTGCTACCCTGGTTTGGCTGGCCAGGAGGCCACCATAAATAAAATGCCAGGAGAAGAGAGTGGGGGTGGGGGACTGCATGATTGTTGAATGGAGCCTGACTGCAAGGGAGCACAAGGAGAGTGCCAGGGACACACTGCTCCCAGAACGGCCTCCCCATGCATGGCTGTGACCCACTGCCACACCCTCATGGAGGAGACACCCTAGGCTGCACTGGGTATCTGGACTGGTCCTGTGGCCAGTTATGCTGGAACCTCACTCAGCTCAATGACACAGTTTGGGAGGGGAGTCTCACCCAGATTTCTTCCTCCTTTGTCTCTGCTCCCACAGATAAATCTCTAGCCAGACTGACCTTTTTTTACTGCTACTTATAAATTGCAATGTACATGTTAACAGCCCAAAACTGGCAGTGTGTCTCAAATTATACAGCTCTATTGAAATGCAGCCATCTCTGGGGTGGAGTGTGTACCCCAGCCTGGGTTCAGTGTGCTGCACATAGCGTGCAGGGAAATTTTGGCCAAGGACACTGGGGGAAACCCCCTGATGCTTAGAAAAATTGCTTTGGGGTCTTTAATACCCAGGCGACTGAAGAGGACAAAGATCCCCACAGAATAACCTGCATAGCATTCAGCTTACCTGCATCAGAAGGTGTGAGACGTCATGTAATGGTGCATGGTCAGGAGCAGAGTGGAGACAGGTCTTGGTGTCAGTCTGATTGTTGTTGACTGCAGACTACAGACAGGATAGGACCCCCTCCTTCCCTTAAAGCTACTGGAGATTCTTCCTTAGCTGATAGAGACCATCTCCTGCAACCTGGGGGATGCAGACAGAAATTGCACTAGCTGAGGATCTGGTGCAGATAGTGTAACGGGCTCATTGACTCGAATGAAGCTATGAGCATTTACGGTAGCTGGGGATCTGGCTCATTAGGTGTTCTGGACTCTTGTACTTCGGTATCAGTTTGTTCAGCACTCGCATGCCAATGTACCTACGACAGAGGAGAGGGATGGGCATGGGTGAGGACTGTGTTGGGGTGGGGAGGGGTTTCTAAACACTGGTTTTGCAAAAGGGAGCTTTCCCTTTTTTTTTTTTTTTTTTAGCCGTAATTGGCCAGAATCTACTCCTGCTTTGGTCCCTGGAAATTTTCCCACTGACCACTCTGAGATTAGGGCTGGGCCCAACAGATGGAATCATTTCTCCTCCCTTCTCTGTACAGGAAAATGTCCTAGGAACATATCATTAGAAGAAAATAACATTTAAAGCTCGGGCAGCAGTAAATTGTGACTGTATTTTGAAATCTGCACTTACAATACTGAGTGATAAGCTTATTCTGAATGGAGCCAGGGCATTTCCTTCTGAGGCACAGAGTCTGCTGTCACTTACGTCCTGGAATTATCCCCGTGCCAGTCATCGGGGAGAGGAGAATCAGACCCCATATCTGAAACACATCAATGGAAGAGACTGATTCTGAATGGCAAATGAAGAGCCATGTTATGGAGAGAATTGTCACATCTTAGAGTCAGATGTTCATGAATGTTCTGGGCAGTGTGACAAAGTTCCTCCTCTATCTTGGTGGGTCCTGCGCTTATTGGCAGATTTTCTTGCCTCAGAGATTCACCATGTGGGTTGGGGAACAGCCCA